GTAATATGCTTAATAATATTGATAATAATAGGAATAATAAGGATAATCATGATAAAAGTAGTAATATGCCTATTTGTATTGATAATAATAAGAGTAGTAAGGATAGTTACAGTTCTAGCGATGATAGTAGTCGTAATATGCTTAATAATATTGATAAGAATAAGAATAATAAGGATAATGATGATAAAAGTAGTAACATGCGTAATAATATTGGTAAAAATAAGAGTAGTAAGGATAATTACAGTTCCAGCGATGATAGTAGTCGTAATATGCTTAATAATATTGATAAGAATAAGAATGATAAGGATAATGATGATAAAAGTAATAATAATAGATTTATCATATTTCTTAAAAAAAGAATATACAGTTGGCGTCATCTGGCGGCAACCTGTGTAAACTACTGAAACTTCAGTTTCAAAAGTGTGTAATTCACCCTGTTCGCCGGTGAGATGGCGCTGACAGTACCATTTTTAAACGTAGCGCGCGAAAATGTGAATTTTCAAACACACGTAAGAAAAAAACTTCCAAAATACTTTTAACTTTACAAATCAATTATTTTACAATAAACTATTATATTTTATACCAATTTTTCCTATTAAATCTTCTTACTTTCGTTGTGAATGTAAACTTGAAAATTTAATTACAAGAAAATATTAACTTACATTCTGTAATTTCTTGAATCATCAGCAATTTTATATTCTCCGAAAGTACATAATAAAACAACCCTTAAATTAAACATACAACAGTTTTATTATTCATCGACTTAAAAAATGCCTTTTGTAAATTGGACATAATGAATGCTAACGAAAACGTTTACAGTATACGTAGTATTGAACACCCTGTTCCTCTCGATTGCCATTTTCCCCAGGGTAACCAGATTTGCACTTGAACGTACAATGGCTGGTATTTAAAATTATAATCACCAAGGAAAACGAAAGAAAGCTGTGGCAATAAATGTGGAAATTTTTTCGTCGAATAAGCCGCGAATGAATCGAGTGGTCGGATCTTCATATTCCATAACGGAATCTGGAACGATGGAATTAACCCAGAAAATGGTTCACTCTCTAGTAATGGAATTTTTTAATCAATGCATTAAGTTCGATTATGCGGATCGAATCAATTATAAATAAAATTAACGCTGGAATTACCAATAATTAAGACGAAAAAATTTCCACCCAAAGCAAACAAAATTGTTGGATCTTGAGAAATACTGGTTTTTTATACAACTCAGTACTTATTGTTAGTAATTTATTACTATTGTTGAATACAGGAACGCTCGAATATTTCATTTAGTATATAATTACCTATGTTTATTAAATTTGTTGCATTTTTGGTATTTATTTGATTAAAACGTCTCATGAGTTTACAGTATTCTCTCTGTAAACGTTAAAATTTTGGAGAGTCACATTTATGGAATAGGTACTACATTCTTTGTAGTGAGCCGAACATAGAAAAGGATAGCAACACAAAAGTGATACAAAAGACAAGGAGGGATAGAATTTTGAGCGTTCGGCAAACATGAAAGACTCGTGCGTGTTCTGTCTTTTAAATTCAAAAATCAAAATTCTTTATTTTTGGTTTTTCGTCAATGGAATTTTTACCACCGTATTTGTCTCGTTTTTCTGATTAAAATGGTACCAAACACGATATGATTACGATCGTAATTACTTATGTCAAAAATTTCGAATACTTTTCGGTACCCCATTTCTTGAAATCAGCATTGATTTTCATCAAGATAAAAAATAAATATATGTACTAATTTATGTTTCGTCGTTTGTTCATTTATTTTGTAACCTCATTTTTAATTTCAAATTAAGTACACATTATATGCCGGTAGATTTAGTATTAAAACAACCACATAGATAAAAATTAAGTAATCTTGATGTGAACTGGTTTTAATATGAACTGCTAATTTTAACGTCATCGGTAACCAACAGCCAATGTTTTTAACAGTCCACGTAAGCTTAGAATGTTGTCACAACCGACGAGCTGTGTGATACACGATATCGTATTTTACCATAATTTCGCCCAGGGGATGTTACGTTTGGGATGAAGAATGATCTCGATATGCCGCAAGAGCTGAATTATTGAACGTCGAATTCGCGATACCATTGCATTGACACCGTGTTCGAAAGATGGATGTGCTTAGTACATGCTGATTTTCGAATACTGCTGGAAGAATTTCAATGCGTTTGATTTGAAATTCTGAACTTATTGTTGGCATCGTTACTCGCTTGATGAAAGAGGAATAGGGTGAACTATGGTCTTTAATTTTTTAAGGCTTAAGCAATAATCAAATGGTGATTCTCGACATATAAAGTCTTACATTTGTAAATTTTTAGATTTAATTTGTAAATTTAAAAGTTTTTGGAAATTCAAGTTTTAGAATTCTTAATTCTTGAAATTGATAAATTATAGACTTCTTGAATTTTAGATAGTCAAAAATTTCAAGTAGCAACATTCTGAATTTTTTAATTGTAATATTTGATATGTCACTGTCTGTCTTTTGAAATTTTTAAATTTTAAGTTAGTGTATTCAGACATTTGAGAAGTGGGAAAATTGCAAGCTTGGAAATGACAAGGCTTTGAAGAATATAGGAGATATGGAACTCTGATTTTTCGAATTTTGAGAATTTGAAAACTTGGAAAATTAGGGAGTTGAAATATTGAGAAGTTGGAAAATTGAGAATCTGAGAATTTGAATAACTGCTTATTTACTCTATGTGAAAACTTGGAAATTTGGTATTTTAATCTCTTGAAAATATAGAATTTAGAGAACTTGAAAACTTGGTAACTTAATTTTTAGGAAACACAGAAATTTGAGAACATAAAAGCCTGGTAATTCAGTCCTTTGCAAACATAGAAACTTGAAAACGTGAAAACTTGGTATGTAATTTAGTCTTTCGTCAAACGTAGAAATTCTCGAATTTAAAAACTACTCCTTCAAAAATACCACATTCTCTAATACCAAGGAAATTTGAAAAACAGCAAACTATCACGCTCCTTCTACGCACAAATCCGACCCCAAAAAGAACCCTCCTTCTAACACCCTCTTACACCCTCCGCAAAAAAGGCCCTCAGTCAGGCAATTATACAAAAAACGCTCGTATATACGTATCCTCCTATGTGTGCGTTATCACACAGGAACAGTATACGCGGTAAGCAATTCAATTCACAAAAAGCTTCATTTATCAGCCAGCGTCCGACAGTTGAAGGAGAAAAGAGGGACATCCGCAAGAAGAATGAATTAAGGATCCTGGAAGCGTTTTTAGTTTGCTTCTCTACACGTTGGTCTCCATTGATTTCACGTGCTGCTAAGATGCTGGCGTGACGTTGCTCCACGGATATAAACTCCAAGTGATTTTCCTTTATTAACGGCCGGAATCATCGTCAGCAGAATAGGCGAACTCTTATCGTGCTCGAGGCTTTGATACTCCGTCGATTATTAACCATCGTGTACCACGTCGTGCTGGCGTGATTTAGGAAATGGAGAAAGGTAGATAGGGAAGCGTGGAGTTCGCTGATTTATTTCGACGTACGGTAGATTGCTGTGCTGCCATTGTTATAGTGGCATCGTTTATTTTGTTAGGTGAACTAGTTCTACCGTGAGGA